TTCCCAAGTGGCAATGAGACTGTTGCTTAGGCCCAGAAGCACCAGACCCACAGCTGCAAATAATTCCATGTAGGGCTCAGAAGCAGCCTGGGGGCTCATGATTCATTATTTGGAGTAGTCCAATTTTGCACTTAAAATTCACGCTGAATTGGGCCTCCCTGGTGGCATAAGGGTTAAGACGCAACCTATGAAGCAATCCGCAGCCTCTGCAGCACGAGTTCGTTCCCCGACAGCCAGGGAGCCACCCACATGGCGCAGCAGACCTCTCCTGACTCGCCCGCTGCTCCCCTCAGCAGTGTATTTGGTCAGTCTGCCTGTTCTGCTCCCCACTCTGTCTCTGGTGAATCCTCTCACCCCCTGCACCTCTGGCCTGTCCCCCAGCTCTTGAATGCATAAATAAACAAATCTTTAAAAAAAAATTCATGCTGAATTGTTCAGGTGGGGTAGCCTAGGAGCCCATTCAGACATGGAGTTTTCTCAAAATACCACGCTGCCATCTCTGCCTGCAACACCCTCCTTCTGGACCCTCCGGAAAGCTTTAGCACCTGTGTACGTGACAACCTGGTCTCGCAGCCTGTAAGAAGTTAAGGCAGCAAGAGCACAGTCTCAGTCAGTACTCTGGAAAAGTGCGGGCGAGTCACCGAATGGATTACAGTAATCTGGTCACATCCCTCTTGCTTTCTACAGAGCAGGAGAGTGGGGTCGTAAAAAGAGGTTACCTTGAAAACAGACCTTATCCCCTCCCCATGCAGACCAGGCTCTTTGGGTCTCGAGTGCTCTGCGTGTAAACGGGGAGAATGAAGGACACCCTCTATTCCAGGGTAAGGAAAGCTAATGAGCTTTTTGTGACTAGCGGAAGGGCTTTCAATCAAAAGAAAGGGAATCTTTCTTCGGGAACCGAAAGCCCTCCCAACAGAGACGCTGCTTTGCCTCTCTGCCCCTGGAGCTGGACTATAAAAAGCAGAGGAACCAGGGCGTCAGAGCCGGTGCTCTAAGGTGGGTGGAGGAAGATGTCATAAAAGCTAGCAGTTAGATCCTGTTGAGAAGAATTAGGTCTCCTCCAGCTCTCCCTCCATCACCCAGTGCGCACACAGAGACACCCACGGTCTGCTTAGCCCCTCTGGGCCGGCCTGCCAGGCGAGGTCCCAGGGTGGAGAGAGGGCCGCGTGCTCTCTGAACACATTCCAGCAGCACGTGTTTATCTCCAGGGCCAGCCTTTCCTGTGTCTGCGCAGGTGGTGGGGGGCGGGGGGGGCAGGGAGGGGGACTGGGAGCCAGGCTGACATGATGATGATTTTCCAGACTGCTGTGGCCTCCCGTGGGGATGCGCTCTCCTGCTCTTCCGCTGCCTGGAGAGATGAGGGGTCCTCGCTGCCTGGCCTGGGCGGGTGAGGGCTTGGTGGGTGGGGACCTCCAGGTGGGGGGGTCATAGGATCAGGAACCAGGAAAATGGCTTTGGTTTTGGATCTGAGTTCTGTTGGGACGTAACTGGTTCTGCCTTCTCTTTTTAGCTCAACAACGATGCCAGCGCCTTTGAGCACTGGCAGAGGCACAGAGCGGCCACGCTCCTGGACTGCGCTGGGCCAAGAGATTGACACCCTGAAGCACAGCTACCGGGAGCTGCACCCTCCCCCTAGACTTACCCCAGCTCCATGGTTTTGTGAGTGTATCGCAGCCCATCTCAAGAGCTTTGATTTATTTCTTTATTTTCAAATGAGATAATCTCATCGTCCCTCCAGGCTGATCAGAGGACAGGAGGGAGGAGGCTGAACTATTTGAATCCTCTTTAGCAAAAATGAATCACGTCTCCCACCTCCCATGCTCAACCCAGGAGTATTTACCCGTGTTTGTACAGCCATGGCAACAGGCTTTCTTCTCTATCATTGAAACCCTTAAAAAGAAAAGTGGAAGGCGGCCCTTTGCTCTACTCCTGCCTCCTGCTCCACCAGGATGACAGAACTACCTCTTCAGAAACAAGGCGAGTGACAGCTCCCCACCCAATGTTGGCCTTCTCAGGGGTAGGGGAACAAGGAAGCTGCCACGACCCTCCATAAGGGCTTCAGAGTTTCATAGTAATTGTCCTCCAAAGTCCTGTGGGGACCACCCAGGAGCAGCACCTCTGCTTGTCCAAAAAGACTCTTTTGAGCACTGCACTGTGATTATGGTCACTGATTTTTTTTTCTTGCCTGTTCCTTGACCTTAAACCAGATGGCGTGTGATCTGGCTCTGCTATCAATACAGTCTTCACCTCTAAGACAGACACCTCTGGTCTTGACTGCCCAGATCACTGTCCAACTTTATAAGGAGTATAAACACGTTAGACTTGCACAGACTTAAACTACAAACAAGGGAAACTGAGGCCAGTAAGAGGAAAACCTTTGCACACAAGGTCATACTGGGCAGTCAACACCCTAAAAGACCTCACCACTCCGCCCCAAGTTTGGGCCAAGAGATCAGCCTGCATAGCCTCCCTCCAAACTTCCAAAGAGGATGCCTGACTGAGCGCTCAGGGGCGGGGGGGAAACCTGGGCTTAAATATGGCCCTGAAGACCATTTCAACCACACACCCACGAACATTTATTCAGTGCCTCGGTGTGCGGGTGCAAGCCATCTAACAGTGTGCAAAACGGGGACCTCCAGGTTGGGGAACACCTTGGTGGTGTAAGAGCTCCTCTGTGGACTGTATGTCAACAGTCAGGGCCCCCCATTCTATCCTAATCTTGGAGGATTCACCCCCAGGACTGATTTGGTAGGGCTGGAGACCTCAATTCAGTCCTCAGGGGCGGTTACTACTCTGAACATTCCTGGGATCTCATGGAAGGGGGGCTCCTGGGGAAGAATCTTGGCTCACAAAGGCAAGGAGGCCCGGGGACAGGGCGTGGTGGTGGTGATGGTGGTGACGCCATTGGACCTGTGGGCCAGACTCACTGGCCCCACCCACGAGAAGCACAGGAGAGACGTAGTAATAATTTCAGGCTCTCCTACCAGTAACTGGAAATGCCTGAGTAGGTTCTGAGCTCCAAGGGGCAGCCCGGCGGCAGCCCTCCAGCTGCAGCAACCTGGGAGGGACCGCAGGTGCTGGCTTTGGCCAGCGGCCACAGGGATGCAGGCTTCCGGCTGGGTTTTGACCCTCTACAGCTCTTCTCTCTGGGTTCTGACCCCACCCCCCACCCCCACTTCTCTGTTGCCTGAGCAACTAGCTCTTTTGCCCAAAGACCAAAAGATGCGAGCAGGGTTCACTGTAACTGAGGACCTGGGGTTAAGTGGAGGCCACTGGACTGGACCCCTCCAAGTCTTCACTTCTGAAGATGTTCATTCATAATCTCCCTGCCTCCTTCCTCTCTTACCTTTAGATCCTAAGCAGATGTAGCCTCTCTGCCGACACGGAGGGGAAGGGCCTCAGCCTTGCATTCACTTTTGTCCTGCCATCTCTCCGTCTTTGGGGCCTGTCCCAGTCAGAGGCCCCAAACTCTGCCAGGGAAAACTTTTCTCCGTTAGTTACCTTGAAACAACAGGTTGCTAATTGGTCTAATTATTCTTAGGCTCTCCAACACCGCCCGGGCGGACCAGGTCCTGTGGCACATTGCCTTGTTACCTGGAGGGCAGGCAGCCCCGGTGCAGGTTCCAACCCCTATGGCCTGCGGTTCCTCCCCAGCCCACCTGGGCCCACCTGTGTCAACTCCGCCAGCCACCCCGGGTCTGGCTGAAGGCGCGACTCTCAAGTGCCCTGCTGTGTCAGTGGAATAGACTCTGATCATCTTTTGAGTCCACCCTCCACCTTCCCCAACTGTCTGCAAGACACCAGAGCAAGAGTTAGTATAACTAGGGGCCTCCCTGGTAGTGCAAGTGTTGAGATGCAACCTATGAAGATATCCACAGCCACTGCAGCACGAGTTCAATCCCCAGCCCGCCAGGGAGCAACCCACATGGCCAGGCAGACCTCTCCTGTCTCGCCCGCTGCTCCCCTCAGCAGTGTACTTTGGTCAATCTGCCTGTTCTGTTCCCCACTCTGTCTCTGGTGAATCCTCTCACCCCCGCCCCCTGCATCTCTGGCCTGTACCCCAGCTCTTATATGCATAAATAAATAAATCTTAAAAAAAAAGTTAGGCTAACTGACGCCGCAGGGGGACGGGAAGAGAAAGACCCGCCTCCACTCCCTGGCCCCCCTGTTGAAAGCAGCCCCCATCCGTCTCCCGTTTTATGTTTTCACGAATAATTTCGACCTGAAATTATCATGTTCCTTTATCTGATTTTTTACCCTTTTTGTCTTACCCCTGCCCCTGTATGTTCTCGGAGCAGAGCCCTCGCAGTCTCCTCCCACTACAGCCTCGCGGGGGGCGCGGTGGACACTCGAGGACTGGAGTGACCCAGCGTAGCCCGGGGGTGGCGGCTCCTGAATCACCCGGGAGGGGCAGCTGGGAGGCTCCTCCACCAGCAAGCCGCAATGCATTTTTGGGGAGACTTCAAAAATTCAGAAAACTTCAGAATTCAGAAGAGCTGCCGAGCGGCTCCTGGGCTGGAGGATGTTTCCTTTCTGCTTGGGAAAGGGAGTTGCCACGGTGGCCTCAGCCCCCCACTTGAGACTGGCCGCTCGGCGCCCACCCCCGAGACCGGGCTTTCTCTTCGTGACCCCACAAGGCGTCTTTCGTGGGCAGGGCCGGGGCGTCGGCACAGCCCGGCGTCGCGGTGCCCTCAGGCGCGCGGGCCGGGACCGGGTGTCCCCGGGGCACCCCCCGCCCGGCTCGGTGCAAACACCCGCAGGGGCCCAGCCTGCGCCCCAGTCCTCTCTGCTCATTGGCTGAGGGCGTCCCCCCTGAATTCTCATAGGCTGTCCCACTTTTCCCTCCGCCCCCAGCACGGACCGCGCGCGGGGAGCTGCGGGAGAAGCTGCTCAAAGTAGCGGCCCGGGAGCTGGGGCTCGCGCGGCGCGGCGAGGGGCGCAGGGGCGCAGGGGCGCGAGCCGGGCGGGCGCGCACTGCCGGGGGCGCCGGCGCCCGCAGCCCGGGGCTCAGTCTGGAGACGAGCCCGGCCAACGCGCGCCCGCGGCAGGCGGGCAGGGACATGGACTGCTACTTGCGCCGCCTCAAGCAGGAGCTGGTAAGAGCGCAGCGGGCGCCGGAGGCGGGGAGGGCCGCTGCGCCCCGACGGGCACCTGGTCCCCGGCCGGCCCGCGGAGCGCGCAGCGTGCGGGCGGAGGGGCGCCCGGAGAGAGGAGGGGGCGCGGGCCGGGGCGCGTCCCGTCCCGAGCCGAGGGGGCCTCCAGGAAACTTGGGGCCAAGATGCGCGCGCGAGTGAGACAGACACGAGCAAGTGACCGAGACCCAGGGCGCAAGCCCAGCCCGGGCGAAGCGCGCTCGGACGAGCCGAGCGAGACCAGGGGGCTCCCCCGCGGCGGACAGACGCGCGGACGGAGCGGACCTGGGCGCCCGCACGGAAAGGGGGGGCGCGCGCCCCGCTGGTGGGGCTGCTCTGGGCGCCCCCGAGGGCGCGGGGCCGGCGCCACGCGGGGAGGGGCGCGCAGGCCCGGGCCCGGCCGGGGGCAGGAGGTCAGCCGGGGACTGTTCGCGCGAGGGGAGCTGGCACCGCCGGGGGCCCTCGGCGCTGCCGGGCTTGGCAGAGCTGGCGCGGCTGCGGGGGCAGGCTTGGCCGGCTGTCTGCCTGGGCTTGTCTGCCAGCAGGGAGGGGTGGCAGCTGTAATGGCGGGGGAGGGCCCTGCGCGGGAGCAGGGGCGCCGCCTGGCAGATCGCGAGCGGGGATGCGGAGGCCCAGCCAGATGTCAGGTCTGGGCTTGGGGCGCGCGGGGGGAGCGCGCCGTCCGGGGGCGCAGGGGCCGAGAGTAGTTCAGTGCGCGGAGAAGCATGCCCGGGAGAGTTCTTCTGGGAAGGCCGGGTGGAGGCTCCCTGACTTCACAGTCACCCCCTCACCTCACCCCGCGCCCACACACGCATACACACACCTGCCACTTTCTCGCTCCTTCAGCTACCAGAGTCCAGACAGGTTTTGCACATGCACCCATCCTTCCCACCCCGTCGCCGAGTCTTCTCTCTGCCTCTTTTTGCCCCTTTTAGTTGGTCTCTCCTGCGCCCACCTCAGCACAGCCTCACTTTTCTCCCCTCCTCGTCTTGCTTTGCAGAGCCAGGGGCACCAGGCTCACAACTGCAGGCCTGGAGCAGCGAAGTGCCAGCCCGTGGCTCTCCAGATTCCATGGCAGCCTCTCCCACTCCTGCCTGCAAAGTTACACTCTTCCTGTCAGGGAGGGAACTGGCAGCTGTGTCAGGCGCCCTGGGGGAGGGGAGCTTGGAGGTGCAGGTGTGCTCACTGCTGCTTCCCAGCCCTTCCTCCTGTGCCTTTCCTGCCCTCCCGCCGCAGGACATCAGGGGTCCTTTCTCGGCCACTTCCTCCCGAAACCCATGTTGCGGGGACACTGGTGGGAAAGTTACCCAGAGAAATGCTTCTCTGGTGAGAGACAGAGAGAAGACCCTCCATCCTGCCCGTTCCCCGGCCCGTTTGGAATGACTCGCCCCAGCTCACGATATATACAATTCTGCCTCTTCCACTAATTTGCCCAATACCAGGGAGAAAGGTCATGATCATCACAGATAATAGCTGAGGTCCAAGGCCCATGCTGAGAAGAAAAACCTCAGAATCCTCTTTTTGTGCTTGGAATCAGGGACCACACCACCCACTTCAGGATCTGCCTTAATAGAGGGTTTGTGGGTGTTCCTGGCATGGCCTCGAATTTTAAAATCCTGATTTGCATTTTTTACAGCACCCTAAGTGGGAGGTGGTGAGGGGAGGAAGGCAGAGTCCATGAATGCCAAGAGAATAAAAAAGACAAATAGGAATCTGCACAGAGCTGAGCCCCAAATCTTGATGTGCACCCTCTCCTGGCAAGGAGTGGAGCCCCCAGTCCCCAGGAGGAGGAAGGGGGAGAGGCTGAAGTCACCCAGCTCCCCACTAGCTTTCATTTGGCCCTTTGTCTGAGCAGTTTCAGCCTTTGACTCTCTTGGAGAGGAAGCCAAATGTCTGGCCTGGGGCCCAGAATGACACTCAGATGGGGGAGCTCTGCACCCCCCACCGCCCATGGTGCGCCGCCCCCTCTCCAGTGCCATTCTGCCCAGCGATGAGACAGCACAGAGTGACAGGCAGATTATTAGAGCCTCCTTCACTCACTGACACCTCAGCCCAGTGCTTAGGGTACCTGCGCCAAATCTTGTGCCTGGGTTTTCCCAAAGGAAATGAAGGAGAAAGTAGAGCTCAGTTAGCCCAGGCGCAGCCCTTTGGCTGCCTTCCTCTGAAGATGTGGGGACTGGGTTCAGTGCAGCGAGAGGCGGTGTCTGGGATAGAGGGTGCGGGCTTGTTTATACCCGGGTCTGCAATGGGGTGGGAAAGGCATGTACTCAGCTAGCGGCAGGAACTTCCCATGGCAGGGCACCTTACACTGCAGACGGTTCGACCCAGGCAGGGTCTCCCCTGTACCCAGGAGAGGGCTGTGTGCTGCCTGGCTTGGTCCTAAGTTAGTGTGTGCCCTGGAATGGCAGGGATGTAATTCTGGTCAAATTCTACATGCATTTGCTGCACTCAATTCCCTTCGAGAAGGATAGATACATTATCTGTTGCAGACACTGTGGGATAAACCTACTGGGAAAAGAAACATTAGTGGGTTGTGAAATTATCTTTGTGGAGGGTGTTCTGCCCTCCCTCCTGCATCTTGGCACTCTCCTTGGCCCAGAAAATTTCGATAAGAGCTTGTTCTGAAAACCAACATAGCAGAATCTCCCACTTTCCCAGAGTGAAAACTTTGCATTGTGAAAGTGAGCACTGGTAGGAGGCTTAGAGTTTGGGGATCCTGGCTCAATTAGGTTGATATCTAGAGAACTGGCCTCGAACTGGCCTGTCTCTACCCTGCTCAGAAGAGGCCCAGGGATCGGGTTTCAGGGATGAAATGTGGCAGGAGAGGAGCAGCAGCTGACACACTTCTTCATCAGGCTGAGGGATGGGGCTGCACTACTCAGCGGGGAGCCCATCGCTTTCCCCCTCCAGCCCAACGAGGAGCCCTGCCCCAACACAAGGCCCTGGGACCAGCTGTTCCTTACACACTGCTGCTCCCTTGAGGGCTTCCAACAAATGGGGTAGACGCAGCACACAGAAGAAGCAGATGTGAGATGTTCACAGGGCATTCGTTTCCTTCGTGAGTTCAGATCAGCGTAGAGCAAATTGGGCACACAAAAGGCTGAGTGGTGGGGGCTCCTGAAGTACAGCCAGGCTGGGAAGGCTTCCTGGAGGAGGCAGTTTGATGGCGGCCATCTTTTGGAATGTTCATCCTAGCTGAGGCATGGGGCAGCCTCAGAGGGCCGTCTCTAAGGCTGGGGGAGGTCGCCCTAGAACAACTTGGTGTTCCTAGAAGACACTTATGCGGGCTCCAGTAGCCACAAGTTCAGAAGGTTCTGACCTATGGAGGAGGACCAGGCTTAAAGGCAAGATAAGGAGGACAAAGTAGGTGATAAAAGAGATATAGTAGGAACAGTCTCTGGTTCTTGGGGCAAAAGAACAAATTTCTTGAGACAAATAAAAAGCTTTTGCAGAGGATCTCCATAGGGTCTCCTTGGATGTTTAGAGCTAAGGGGACGAGGACTAGTTAGACAGTGGGGAGTGGCCAGTCGGAAGAATGTGGAGCTTAGGATGTGTGGTCAGGTCCACTTGAGCTCAGATTTCTTACGCTCCCTGTGACTTGATTTTCTCATCTGTAAAATGCAGTTTAAAAAATATCAACTTTATATAGTCACTGTGAAGATTTAATGATAATATGCATTAAGTGTTTCCCGATTTGGATGTCCTCAGCACGTAACGCGTGGCCTGATGTGCTGTGGGCGCTTGGTCAACCCTAGTGACGGGCTGGCCAGCCTGATGGGCATAGTTCTAGAGTTCTTACTGTGTTAAAGGACTGTGGTAACAAAGCACTAGACATATGAACAGACACGGGTCCTGCCTTCAGGGAACTCACAGTTAAACAGGAGCTTTAATAAAAGTAGCATTATTTGATGTTTTAACGTTTATTAATAGGCCAGGCATATAATGTACTGTCCTTTAATTGCCAAAGCAATACAAAGAAGTTGTACTTACACTATCTCATTTTATAAATGAGACATGGGGAGGTTAAGTGACTTGACCAAGATCATAGAGCGTTAGCAGATCTGGGATTCAAAGCCAGCCCACCTGACTGCAGAACTTACACGCTGAACCTCATCTGTGAAATGAGGTACAGGTGTGCAAACTTCTAGCAGGGAAATAGAGGAGTTGTGCTGTAGGAGAGGCGCAAGTTTGGTGCTCTGAGAAGGGAGAATTTACCTCCAGTGGGGGGCCAGGGAAAGCCTAGTCAGGGCACAAAGGAAATCGTCCCATACCCCTCTGGATTCCTCTAGGCAAATAAGCATTAGACAGACTGATAAGAGGGAAAAAGCAGTATAGAAATTTAATAACAGCATGTATACCTCCTGCTCACCCAGGAAAGAGCCAAGATGCCTGAGTAACTTGCCCTTCTGGCTCAAGACACCACCTTACATAGCTGCGCTGAGACAAGGGAGTCTGGGGGAAGAAAGGCAAAGTCAGGGTGTTTACTGGGGAAAACAAAGGCCCTTCTGCCTTGTCCATTGTAAAGAGATAAAGGGGTTAAGTCTTCTGGAAAAAAACCCTAACAGAGAAATTTAGAAACAGCAAAAATAACTTCCTCCCAACCTTCATAGCCCTTCCTAGAAAGAAACCTCTTGTCAAAGGCCTCTTGTCTGTTTTGGGGTGGCAGAATTTTGCTCCCCTGCAGCCTCTTGGAAGAGTTGCACTGGAGCTAGACCTTGAGGGATAAATTGGGACATGAACAGGGGGAAAAAGGGCATTCCAGGCAGACAATGAAACGACAGGAGCAAAAAGCAGACACAGAATTGAGGAGGAGGTTTGAAGCTCGAGTAGCGGAGATACTAGAATACTCTCTGGAGTTAGCTGGACCATAAAAAATATGCAGAGAAATAGTGGGCTCGGGCTGGGAGCAGTGGAGAGCAGACTCCGGGGGGCCTGGGATGCTGTGCTGCAGTCTGATCTGTTCA